CCCAAAAAAATATTTTTTCATTTTATGAAATCATTGGTCAGCCAGATTGAAATCACCTGTGGACCGCCAGTTGAATAGCCCTGACTTAAAACGTCATCAGATTTTCACACAAGTCCTAAAAGTAGATGAAGAGAACCCAGTTAAATAAATTAGACCAAAATATTATACTTGATTTATTTATTTATTGAGGAGAATTATCCAATATTACATATTTGTGAATGACAAAAGTATGTGAACCTTTGCTGTCAATACCTGGTGTGACCCCCCCCCCCCCCCCCATTACAGCAATAACTGCAGCTAAATGTTTCTGGTAACTGTTGGTCAGTCCTGGTCACCTTGGAGGAACTTTAGTCCATTCCTCTGTACAGAACATCTTCAACTCTGGATGTTGGTGGTTTCCTCACATTAACTGCTGCTGCAGGTCCTTCCACAACATCTGGATTGGATTAAGGTCAGGACTTTGACTTGGTCATTCCACAACATGAACTTTATTCTTCTTGAATCATTCTTTGGTAGAACATCTTGTGTCTTTAGAGTCATTGTGTTGCTGCATGACCCACCTTCTCTTGAGATTCAGTTCATGGACAGATGTTCTGACATTTTCCTGTAGAATTCTCTGATATAATTCTGAATTCATTGTTCCATCATTGATGACAAGCTGTCCTGATCCAGATGCAGCAAAACAGGCCCAAACCATGACACTACCACCACCATGTTTCACAGATGGGAGAAGGTTCTTCTGCAGGAATGCAGAGTTTTGTTTCTCCAACCACAACACTTTTCATTTAAACCAAGAAGTTTTATTTTGGTCTCATCGTCCACAAAACATTCTTCCAACAGTCTTCTGGTTTGTCCACGTGATCTTTATCAAACTGCAGACGAGCAGCCATGTTCTTGTTGGAGAGCAGTGGTTTCTCCTTCAACCTGCCATGACACCATTGTTGTTCAGTGTCTCCTGATGGTGGACTCATGAACATCAACATTAATGTGACAGAGACCTTCAGTTGATTAGAAGTTACCCTGGGGTCCTTTGTGGCCTCGCCCACTATTCCACACCTTGGAGTGATCTTTGTTGGTCCACCACTCCTGGAGAGGGTAACAATGCTCTTGAATGTCCTCCATTTGTCCACACTGTGCACTGGTGGAGTCCAAACTCTTTACAGATGGTTTTGTAATCTTTTCCAGCCTGATGAGCATCAACAACTCTTTTTCTGATCTCCTTTGTTCCTCCATGATCCACTTCCACAAACATGTTGTGAAGATCAGACTTTGGTAGATTCATCCATCCATTATCTTTACCTGCTTCTTTCTTTTGAAGCTGAAGTACGTAGAGAAAACCCACGCATGCATGAAGAGACCATACAAACTCTACCCAGAAAGGTCCCCGGCTAGGATTTGAGCTTGTGACCTTCTCGCTAAGAGGCCCTTTACCAACTGAGCCACCGTGTCAAATCAAACGAGGTGTCCACTCACACCTGATCATTATTACATTTATTGAAAACACCTGGCTCTAATTTCACCTTCAAAAACTAACTGTTAATCCTAGAGGTTCACATACTTTTACCACTCACAAATATGTACTATTGGATCATTTCCCTTAATAATTAAAAGATCAAGTATAATATTAAAGTGTTCACAAACCTTCAAGCACTACTGTATAAGCAGCAGGGTAGGAACTACATAAATCAACAAGACCTAACAAAAGAACTCAAAAGGTGGAGTACTCTGGAGTCTGTGGTCGCAGCCCATTTAGACACTGACTTGGGGGGGGGGGGGGGGGGTTGGGGTTTGTTTGGAAAAACATTTTTTGCCATTTATTACTTGTATAAATATCCAAATAATGTTTATGAAACTGCTCTTCTTACAGGACAAGGAATCAAAGAGCATTATCAAGAACTCCGAAAATAATATAGAAGGTATGTTTAAGAGACATAACCGAGATTTAACTGTTATCTTTTCTGCCGAGGTGTGGGAGATCAAATCATTTTATTTTTATCCTTTACGCATATAGTCGACTGTGTCAAAGAAGAACCTGAGGAGCTCAAAGTTCAACGATCCCTTGAGAAGTTGCAGGACGAAGAGATGAAACAAGCAGATGACAATGGACACACTGGAGACAATCGTCAAAGTCTGGCTACTGTTTTTAGGCTGGCTGCACTACTGGGAAAAAAGAACAGCAGCCTTCGTGAACTTTCAGAAGAAGACCGAGAGCCACTTGTTCAGGAGCTCAAGCTATGTCACTGGTTTGGAAATGAAAGCAAAAGCACGCAATCTGTTAGTGATGATGAAATGGTAAACCTCCTCATAAATGGAATCAGAGATGTCATACTTAAGGAAATTCAGGAATCTCCATTTTTCTCACTCATCACAGATAAACCTGTGAGAATATGTGACAAGACCCACCTCCCCGTCTTTGTTCGATATGTTGGGGAATCTGCTCCAAAAGTTGAGCTCATGGGTTTTTTGCCATTTGATGAAAACGGTAATGCTAGTAGACAAGCAAGTAATCTTGCAAAGATTCTCACTGAAGAATGGGGACTGCCCATGTCTCAATGTCGAGGACAAGCATTCATGCATTTGGGTTTAGGTTACGAAAGCCTGAAGATAATGTCTTTGAATTTCCTACAGAGCTACCCGCTTTGTGTCGTAACACCCAGTGAGTCATGTGGTCTTGCCTATTGGTTGGCCAGTAGCATGCCTTGCCCTTCAGTGACAAAGATCCTGGATATCACTGAAGATCTGCTGCTGTTTTTTGACGAGTCTCCTTGTCTGGAGGAACAGTTAGCACAAGCTGTTGATGGGCTTTTGAACGTGCCAAGGGAGGCGTTGGAGGAATTTCCTGAAACATTTTGCTCCAAGTGGAAAAAAAGGGAGGACTTTTTTGACATCCTTGTCGACACGTTAGATGGTGTTCTCACCTGCCTGGATGCTGTCAGCTCTAGTGTCATAGGTGCCAAATCAGTGCATGCTCAGGTTCTCTCTGCTGCACTGAGGAACATGGATTTCATTGTCACCCTAGTGATTTTAAGGAATGCGTGTGCTCCACTTCGTAACTGCAGCACTGTTTTTCGCTGTGGAAACCCTGCTGACATTCTCTGCGAGTTGGAAAAAATCCCATCAGTTATGGAGACTCTTGAGAAAATGTTAGAAAACGTGAACGCGGTGCACTCAACTTGGTTTGAACAGGCGTTCCAGCTAGCAACCAAGATCGCTCCTGAACAAGTTTACTTCTCAGGAGAAGTCAACAATTACGATTCACCAGAGATTTACTACAGAGAAAATCTCACCATTCCCCTCCTCCAAAACCTTATTGACGAGATGAAATATTGCTTCTCCGACAGCCATTTAAAGGCCCTGTCAGTCCTGTCATTGTTGCCATCATGCAATCCACAGCCAGTGCTGTCAGAATCCACGGACAAGCCTTTCAGCTTCTTTCTTACAGATCTTCCTGAGCTCGAGTCAGCTGAGCAGGAATTCAACACCTGGGCCTCTGTCTGGAGAGAGAAATACCAGGATGTTGCACCTCCAACATCTGTCACAGAAGCACTTGTCCATCCTGAGTCCAAGAGTCATCCAACCGTTACATTGTTGCTTCGGCTAGTTGCTGTCCTGCCCAGTGTCAGCATGGAGTGTGATCTGATGAAGACCACCCTGAACTCTATAAGGGATCTTTTTAAAAACGCTGTATGCAGAGGCAGCAAGACGAACCACGTGATGCTCCTCTCTCACTGCACAACACTACAAAGGCTGCCAGAGGTTATTGAGCAATGCATGGAGGTTGATCCAGAAAGCACGTCGTGTCTATCCCAGGTAAGAATTTTTAGTTTAGACCACAGTACCTTTAGCAGCGCGGACGTTTTTATGTAGAAATTCTTACTTCCCAATTAGTTATTTACACATTGTATGTTTTGTTTTTTCCTCAATAATTAGGTATTAAACAGCTTTTTGATGTGGACCATTCTGTCAGACAAAACTAGCTTCTACTAGACATGTTTTATCCCTACAGTGACGCAGCCCATAAAACTAATGCACTAGTACAGTAGTCCCTCGCTAATTTGCGGTTCGCCTTTCACGAACTCGCTCTTTCACGCTTTTTCAAAGTAAGATTGGACATGACACAATTGGCTGATTGACAGATGAGCCGCACGATCGGCATGGATTTTATAATTTAAAATAAATTACGTTAAATTATTTAGCGCCTCCTAGACCTGTGTGCAGCCCAGAGCTGCAAGGAGAAGCTTCCTCCTGCAGCGTGTCATGATCTCTGCTCTGCAGCAGAGAAGTGGGCGTGGCCGAGAGCGGAGATCATGACATTTTGTGCTGTTTTAGTGCGTTTAGTGGGAAGGATTTAAAACGCCTTAATGTACCAAAGGAGAACTGTTTACAGTTGTCCCTCGCTGCTTTGTGGTTAGTTTATCGTGGACAGTTTTTCAAAATAAGACTGGACCATGACACACAGTTGGCTGATTGATGGTTGAGCCGCACGATCGGCATTGATTTTTTTTATTTAAAATAAATTATTTAAAATTATTTAGCACCTGCTGCACATTTGTGCAGCCCATACTGCAGGATAAACTTCCTGCTGCATCTGATCAGCTGTTGTCTGTGCAGAGCGGAGAAGTGGGCGTGGCCAAGAGTTCTTGCAGGTGGCAGAGAGTAACCGAGCCAGAGAGCTGAAACCATGACAGTCTGTGCTCTTTTAGAGAGTTTAGAAACATTGTTTAGAATATTGCAAGAGTGTGGGAAGGATTTAAAACGCCTTTAAATTTTATATATATATATATATATATATACAAAAATAAAGTACTACTTTCTACTTGTACTACTATCCCTACTTTGCAGTTTTTCACTTATCGCGGGGCTTCAGGGTACGGACCCCCCGCGATAAACGAGGAACTACTGTAATAGAAAATTTTAAATTTTGTTACATAACTCAAGTAGCTGTACATTTCTTTTAGGTAACGGGAGCTCTGCAAAGACTGAAGTTGGGCAGAGGTAAGTTTGTTTATGGCAGCTTCAGAATTTTGTGTAGTGGTCCATTGTGAAAGAAAACTAGATTTTGGCTAAAACATGTTTTTATATGAATTCTAGTAAAACATTTTATGTATTTTTCAAACCAGTAGATAATGAAGCAAAACCATCAGAACTGCACAGTACCGGTGACTCAGTCAGACCTGCAGATGGCCAGGTGAAGCCAGCTGCAAAGGAAACGACACAAGAGATTGTTCCAGGACCGAGAAGGATAGTCTCGTTTTATGACCCACAGCTACGTGAACAAATCCTTAAGGAACTGTGGGACTCTCAGTTCTTCACAGTTATATTTGACCAAACAGTTGAAATTAACGGTGAGCTCTATGTCCCATTGTGCATCAGGTACTTAAACAAAGAGGATATTCAGTGTGAGGAAACTCTGGCTTTCATCCCTTTCACTGAAGACTCGGTCGTCCTCACTGAGGCGATAGAAACGGCTCTATCTGAGAAGTGGGGGCTCAACATGGAGTACTGCAGAGGTCAGGCTTTGCTGAGTGTCGGTGAGGTAGGAGCTTACATGAGGCTTGTAAGTTTAGCCATAGCTATAAAATACCCACATGCCGTTAGAAGCATCAGTTCTGCTTTGTCACTTAATGTGTGGTTGGCTAAATCGTCTCCTGTTGCCGAGGCAGCTGAGGGAGCAGTCCTTATAGGGAAACTGTTACACTGGCTCACGGACGATGCAGAACGCCAGAACAAACTTGAAAACGAGATCATTTATGTTTTCAAGCAAGAAGAAGGGCAGGGCAATGAGGTGAGTGACAAGCTTGTAAAGAACTGGGAGAAGAGTCACGACATGCATGAGCTTATGATGGAGATTATAGAAGCAGTCGTGCTCTGCTTGGATAAGCTGAAAGGAGAAGGAAGTACTTCAGACCAGCAGCAAGCGTCGTACTTCTTTGATTCAATCAGAAACTTGGAGTTTATCTTTTCAACTGTGGTACAGAAGAACGTCTTGAGTGTAACTAAAAGGCTAAGTCAGTCTCTTCAGGGCAAACCCTTGGACATGTTGCTCTCTGTGAACACCTTGCCCGATGTCAAAGCGTCACTCCGTAAACTCCAGACCGATATCGACGGCTGTCACAAGTCCTGGTTTGAGGAAGCTGTGGCCATAGCGTCCAAACTCCATGTTCCAATGTTGCATCCAGTGCTTCTAGAGCCAATGAGCGAGTTTTACAAAGAGTCTGTTAGCACAAGGGTTGTGGAGCACTCAATAGCAGAAATTGACGACCTGTTCACAGAAAAGGTATTGGATACCTTGAGATGTCTGGAGATTGTGCCTTATGCAATGTCCAAAGTAGAAACCAGCATTCTTAGTGGTCTTGTGTTCCGTTTGTACAAGGAGGACTTGCCAGATCAGTCCTCCCTCCACTCTGAGATGAAGGCATGGAAGGAGAAATGGTTGGATTCTATGGTAGGTTATCTTCCAAGCACTGTGCTCGATGCGCTCAAAACATCACAGATTAGAAGTTTCGTTAACATTGAAACTCTCCTTAGACTTCAGGTCATCTTGCCTTTTTCAAGGCGAGAGAGCAACTTCAGGCAGGGAAAAAGAAGCTTGCAGGAATTCATTCAGCAAGAGAAGAGGTCCCTCACTGAGCTCCATCCTCTGTAGAAGCTGCAGAACTTTCTGTAGCACATTTAAAAAGTCGGTTTGCCAGTTAGTGGATGACAGCTTCAACTTATTGAAGGACTGATGAGTTCTGTACACCCAGTTTCACTGTACATTATTGGCTTTTCTTTTGTCATCCCACAAAGCCCTGTCCTGTGATGTTGGGCTTTATGTTTATTTTGTAGTTTTTTTATTTTTATTCTGTAGTTTGTACAGTTGTACTGCCCAATGGGACCAATGTCATGGAGAAAAAGACGGTTGGTTGTCAATGCTTTTGTGTGCCTTGAGACCTCAATCCCCCTAATGTTTCCTAATTGTTTAAAATGTCCTATTGACTTTTGGAATTTTTATTTCTATTTTCTAGAATGACTAGATTGGTTTGCCATTTTTAATTTTAATTTTTTTCTCATAATTATTAAACTGCACTCTTATTCTTTGCTGGGCACAAGTAGAAATGGTTAGCTCCGTCATGTTTTCTGATGATTTCCCATGTTTCCTGTCGATTTGCCAGAATGATTTTGCTGTAAACGTATCTCTGAGAATAATGTTTCCTTCATAGGAAAATCTTCATATATATATTTGTCAAAAAAATAAATAAAAAACCCAAAACGTTCCAAAAAGATGCTTTGAATTAATTGTGGGCTGGAGTTTGTCTTTGTGCGCTGCACGTCTAACAGATTACACAAGGTGGCGCACCTCGACTGTTTATTTGAAGTTCTTACACAAAGGTTGGACTTCTGGTGATTTTTAGTTTCTAAGACCAGACAGGGAAGGTGTAAACTTGCTTACAGCTACTTTTGGGGCCCTATTGATATGTTTTAAACACAAATGTACATGCACAAACAAAACATCTGAAATTAAGTTTTCTGTCCCACATTTTTAAAGAGCTGTTGCTGCATAGACCATAAGTGGATCTGGACGTTTACCTAAAGCTTCTTTTACGTGGACAAATGATTCGAATGTGTTATAGTAACGAGGAAGAGCGTGTCTTGCTACGTGTTCTCACAAGACCAAAACGCAGGCAAGTGTTTCTTATAAAACTGCAAAGTGTTTGATGCCTCAGAGTAAACACGTTTGGTTTAATGCTGACCTACTGTGATTTAAAGAAAAGTCTTGTATGAAAACTTTAAATATAAAAACACTGAATCAGTTTTACAAAATAAAACAAGCCATTGAGGCTCAGAATTACAAACAAACCCTTTAATAAAACTAATCGTGCTATATTATCTACAGTTGTCAATTAGAAGCGAGAAAAGCAGAAAACATTCACAAGTTATTAAATGAACGGCAGCGTATTCAGACTTTACATTTCAGTGCAATGAAATGAGGCATTTGGAGAATTCATGAACGTAAATGTTATTTTAGGGCTCTAAAACGGGGAACTGAGCTGCTGTGCCAATAAACTGGAAAACTTGAGTTGGGCGGCTGTGGCTCAGTGGTTAGAGCAGTCCTCCAATGGGAGAGTTGGGGGTTTGAATCCACCAGCAGTCGGATGCCGAAGTGTCCCTGAGCAAGACACTGAACCCCTCACTGCCTCTGATGTGTGTCCATCAGTATGAATGTGATAAATCACTGATTAGTCTCTTTAGAATGATTTGTTCATCTTTGTAGAGGTCTAGTATAGAGCTGTATGAATGAGGCACAGCGCTCTGAGTCTTGGATCAGATGGAAAGGTGCAGTCCGTTTAACTTTCAGCTTGGGTTGTCCAACAACTGAATTATGCGTGTCATCCTAAATGATCAAAACATGTTCGTGTAGCTCATCATGAAGCAAAGTGTTCCTCTAATGTGTCGGAAGACTTGGGTCAAATATGACCCTAAATATTATTTTATCCTGCTCGAGTTTTTCAAATCTATTAGAACTGGACCACAAATCACAAGCTATAAACCGGTGTGTGTGTCGGGGGTGCATTCATGAATCATATTTTGATTTTTTTTTATTTTTTTTTTTGCGGGAGATTTGTTGATTTGATTGTGATAAAATACATCACTAAAAAAATATAAGTGAATTCTAACAGAGTGCATCTTCCAGGATTTGAATGTTGTTTTCATGTTTGATCCAAATTCCCAATATTGGGGAAAAAGTCATTCATATTTTTAGATTATTAAATTGGGATTTACATCTGAAAACCAAAGTCCGTTTGATTTTATTAAAGAAATATGGACTGAGATTCTTAGCTTTTTGAATTTGGCCCTCGGTGTAAATGACAGCAGTGAATTACAAAGTGAATTATTAAGTGAATTATAAAGTGAATTATAGAGTGAATTATAAAGTGAATTATAAAGTGAATTATAGAATGAATTATAAAGTGAATTATA